TTAGATTTTATGTGTAAGGTAGCTAAAGTTAGGACCACGTATTAGTTAAATGCTTAAAAATAAATAAAAACATAAATCAGGTTTTGGTGAACATTTGGTTCACTGGTTTGCTAGTAAATTATATTAAGATATCTTAACTTGAGTATGTTTTCCGTTTTCCTAAACTGTTAATTATTTTTTTATTAATTTGTAAGAAATTAATGAGTTTTAAATCATGTAATTTATTAACGTAATTTTCTTTATGACATATAATTTGATGTTCTTAAACTAAATTAATATATTAAATTAAATAACTACTGTTTTGAATGAATTTTAAATTAAATAAATGATTAGTTTTATTATTAGTGACATGTACCTATTTATATAGTAATGATTATGAGTTATGTTGCTCGAAATAATTGCTTTTTACAAGCTTTTTATTAACTTGCTATGTATGTTTGTTACGGTCAAATCTTACAACTCAATTTTAAAGCACTTGCCCTCAACCGATTAAGCTGAAATTTGGTATGCTCGTTCAGTTCGGATGATAATGCATGATTAACAGTGTGACGTCATTCTAAATCCAATATGGCGGCATACCCAAAATAGCGGACCAATCATTTTTAATGCATTCCTACAATATGGGTATCAAATTAAAGGGCTTGCTGAGAGTAACTCGAAAAAAATGTGACGTCACTCTCAATCCAATATGGCGGAAATCTAAAATTTGAAAATCTATTTAGAAACAAACTTTAACTAATTTAGTTGAAATTTTCTTTTTAGCGCATTTGAATAAAAGCTTGTTTTTAAAAAGGTTTTTTTACCTTAATTTTATTTACTTTTATAAACTATTGATTTATTAATTTTATTTATTCTTAAACGTAAAAAAACTTTAGTGAATTAACGTCCGCAACTATACACTTACTTGTCGACCTCCAAAGAACACTGTAGGATACGAACAAATACCAAATAAGCGCCAATATCACTATCAGATCGAGTAGTGTTGTCTGTAATACTATTCCGTTGAATATCGATAAAAAATATGAAATCTATGAGTTTTATCGTACGAAAGGCAAGAAAGGTAGAACGAAAATCACGAAGCCAATAAAAGTTCTAAAATCATTATATTTTGTAATGGAAGGTGACTTCAGAAGTGTTTTGAAGTCATTTTTCAAGTTGACGACTCTGTATATAACAATACAGGGAGAAAAAAATAGCCCTTGCTGAGTTTCTTGCCGGTTCTTCTCAGTAGTCTCCCGCCGTAGTTTTGCGAACCGATAGCGTAGCTTCTTGACCTTCACAAGTGCTTGTAACAACATAGACTGAATAAATGCTTTTTGATTTGATTTGATATATAGAAAAACATATAAACATCTATGACTAGAGTGCTCGTATTCATCATACTAACATATGCCCCCCTCGGATTTGGTTTAAAACCGATTTATTTGCAAATTATAAAGTTATTTTAGTATGGTTATAAAGTTAGGATTCATGATTAAATTTCAGGTATGATTTATGAAATCACATACCATGATGCATTGATAAAAACATGTACTTAGTGTAATATTTATATTAATAGCAAAATACTAAAATGAACATGCCATGTACTCAGTGAAATACATTGCTATTGTGATTATTATCATCTACAGGTAAATTTTGTTTAACATATACAACATCTACTATATAAAAATAAGTCGGGTTTTCCTTCCTGACGCTATAACTCCAGAACGCACGAACCGATTTCCACGGTTTTGCATTCGTTGGAAAGGTCTCGGGCTCCGTGAGGTTTATAGCAAAGAAAATTCAGGAAAAATTAAAAAAAAAACTTCTTTTAATCACCAAACGAAATGTTACATAAAACGAAGCCATCTGGTGGCGAAACGGAGTTCGCCGGGTTTGCTAGTCCTTACTAATATTATAAAGGCGAAAGTTTGTTTGGATGGATGTATGGATGGATGTTTGTTCCTCTTTCACGCAAAAACTACTAAACGGATTTTAATGAAACTTTACAGTAATGTAGCTTATAGATCAGAATAACACATAGGCTATAATTTATAAAGATATTGACCTTGCTTTTATTCGAATTACACGCAGACGAAGTCGCGGGCAAAAGCTAGTATTTTATAAATTTGAGATGTTATTACCTATCTCCAGTTAAATCATGTGAATTACTCCTAACTCAGCCCCCTTAGCATGAGCACCGCGATCATTTGTCAAATTACGAATGTAATATATATAATATGGAGTTTGACAGTTAGACGTGATAAAAACGTGAAATAATGTAAATTGTGGTACTCATGCTACGGAGACTGGGCTCGGTCACATTTAAATTATCGATAAATTTATGCAAGTCACATCACTTCGCTAAAACAAAGCAAGGCCCAATCCATTAAAGACACATTCTAAAAATGTAAACGTATATCGCGTGAATATTGAGCGGTTCATTTTTGTTTGTATTTTAAAAGGGACAAATTCAAGTGAATTTACTATGATAAACAACAATTTTTAGTATACAAATGTATTGACGGAAAAATAAAGGTCCTTACTCATTTAGGATCAGCCAGCGGACGCCCGCGATTCTGAGTTGTTTGAATCTTTAATTTTTTTGAGATAAACATGCTCCTATGTCTCAATCCATATTTGAGTGGCAAACTTCATCCAAATTCGTACAGCCGTTTTAGCGTGATTGAGTAACAAACATATAAACACACAAACATACAAACTTCCACATCCCACTAAATAGTATAGGATAATCTGACACTTCTCTGAGCGCGTTATGTATATCCTTATCCTTACTAATATTATAAAGGCGAAAGTTTGTTTGGATGGATGTATGGATGGATGTTTGTTCCTCTTTCACGCAAAAACTACTAAACGGATTTTAATGAAACTTTACAGTAATGTAGCTTATAGATCAGAATAACACATAGGCTATAATTTATAAAGATATTGTGTGAATTGTCCAAAATATAACGATAAATGTCATTTAAGTCTGAAAAAATTCTGCAATCTGCGAGCTATTCAGGCGTGTAAGGATAAAATTGTCTAAAAAATATCCCGCAACAGCATATGTCTATCTTTTATGGTTGACTCACAATAACACGTGTAATTATATAAATAAAGTCATTCTTTATAGCACAAGCCCGAGAACAAAAAGTATAGTTACCACTACAGCTCTACACCGAAGCGAAGCGAGGGCGGATCACTAGTTACTTAAAAAATTGTGTACACGGAGCACACATCTGAAGAGAAATTTGTTTTCTTAAATACCCTAACATTAGGCGGTGCATAGGTATAGGGGAATGGAGCAGCGCACGCATCACTCAAATTTATTATATATGTATGTATATATATATATACATCCTTACTAATATTATAAAGGCGAAAGTTTGTTTGGATGGATGTATGGATGGATGTTTGTTCCTCTTTCACGCAAAAACTACTAAACGGATTTTAATGAAACTTTACAGTAATGTAGCTTATAGATCAGAATAACACATAGGCTATAATTTATAAAGATATTGTGTGAATTGTCCAAAATATAACGATAAATGTCATTTAAGTCTGAAAAAATTCTGCAATCTGCGAGCTATTCAGGCGTGTGCTGCAAAAACAGTTAGTGCTACATGTATATAATGTATGGTGAAAATATTTATCTTAAATAGTCCTACAAAAAATTCTGCGACACCATATATATCTATCTTTTATGAGTAAGCCATTATTGTCAAAATAGTGAACCATAAATACAATAAAAATTGATAATTTATTTCTAATAATCCAATGCACATTTGGTAGTAATAAATGGATCCTTATCAAAATGAATACTTTTATCGCTTTTGGTATTTAAAGGAGATAAATTTTGTCCTTCACAATACATCATTTGGACAAATATTTTAATAGGTGCGAATGTAACATCTCAATATTGTCAGACTGTTATATTTTTCAAATACGACCCAAAAATTATGTATGTTATAATTTTAATGTCATAATGTTAGTTCTTTTCACGCTAATATAAGCTACTCGAAATACTAATACTGCGCACACGAAGTCGCGGGCACCAGTTATTGATACATAAAGACCTTGCTTTTATTCGAATTACACGCAGACGAAGTCGCGGGCAAAAGCTAGTATATTATATATCCATCTTAACACTTAAATTATCGTAATTGATCGCACAATTTTTTTGAAATTCTTGAAAAATTATGAACAAAACGGTACATTCTACTTAAATTTTTAATATATTTAATTTATTATATACTAGTGATCCGCCCTCGCTTCGCTTCGGTGTAGAGCTGTAGTGGTAACTATACTTTTTGTTCTCAGGCTTGTGCTATAAAGAATGACTTTATTTATATAATTACACGTGTTATTGTGAGTCAACCATAAAAGATAGACATATGCTGTTGCGGGATATTTTTTAGACAATTTTATCCTTACACGCCTGAATAGCTCGCAGATTGCAGAATTTTTTCAGACTTAAATGACATTTATCGTTATATTTTGGACAATTCACACAATATCTTTATAAATTATAGCCTATGTGTTATTCTGATCTATAAGCTACATTACTGTAAAGTTTCATTAAAATCCGTTGAGTAGTTTTTGCGTGAAAGAGGAACAAACATCCATCCATACATCCATCCAAACAAACTTTCGCCTTTATAATATTAGTAAGGATATAATTTCTCTCTTTTTTCACACCCTGTATATATTGTCGCGTGTGACGCTCGCGACGCTCGTAGCGTTTCAGCCTTCGCCGAGTTACTCTCCAACTTTCATGCTCATCTGGAAGAGCTGCGCACGCATCACACACACACACACACTTATCCATAGGATTGTTACATTTACACCCCCGTCGGGAAAGAAGTTTAACTTTAAAAGTGACACTAAATTCTTGCTTTTGTGTATTTATTTATCGGGAAAGAAGTTTAACTTCAGAAATGACACTAAATTCTTGCCTTTGTGTATTTATATATTGATTTTATAGTACTGTTAGGTAACTATGTTTGTTCTTGTTGCAGGTCACGCAATGAAGCGGAGACACAGATGGGTGGGCGTCAGCTTATTCTGTAAGTACCTCAAACGTTCCCGTCTCATCATCATCAGATTCTTAATTTATTTATTTATTATCTTAGTGTCGCCGCACACGGACCGACCACAACCAAAAAACGCCGCCACCGGCATATTTCTTGTAGTTTTCATACATTTTATATGGACTCGCCGCGCACGGTACGGCGCTGGCGGCCCACACGCTACAAATCGTCGTTGCTCGCTTCTTGTGGCCCGCACCGGCCACTTAATGCGCCGATACATAACGCCGCTACCCGTCACTCGCGCGATTCCCCACCCTTCTCTCCCTTACCTTAGTCAGCCGCTGTCGCGCGCTTCAGCCACTTTAGTAGCCGCTTCTAGCTTCTCGTGGCGGCGTTTGTGGCTGTGGCGTGTAGCCCGTGTGCGGCGACACTTAGGGCAGCTAACAGCTTTTGAAAATAAAGATATTAGCTTAAAAAACTATTGACAAGCTACCACATATAGAAATCTGTATTGATTAAAATACTAAATAAAAAGACAGAAGCGTCAACCATACAGTAGATAACATAGAGTTTTACATGAAATGTTAGTAGTGAGAGAAAACATAAAATTTCACAATAAGTTCGTTATAATTTTCAATTTTTAAGCATGTAACGGCTTGATGTTTAAATCTAAAGAAAATATAACTAGAAAAAAATCCACGCGGACCAGGCAGCAGACAGGACTCGAACCCGCACCCTTCGCTATCCGAGCGAATGCACTGACCAATTATGCTACGGCGTTAAGTGCAAATTGTACCAAAACGTGACGTCATGCGACTTTTCAAATCAATATATCTCTGCAATGTTTATATTATGTGAAAAAAGAAAAATACGTGTCCAATAAATACTTTTTGATTGATAATGCGACGAGATGGCGCTGCCTTGCAGCTTAAGAATGGCTAGAAGAATTTCGACGCGGTCCGTGAGGGCCGCGGTAGCATAATTGGTCAGTGCATTCGCCCGGATTGCGAAGGGTGCGGGTTCGAGTCCCGTCTGCTGCCTGGTCCGCGTGGAATTCTTTCTAGTTATATTTTCTTTAGATTTAAACATCAAGCAGTTACATGCTTTAAAAATAATAAAATTTATAACTACTTTTTGATAATCTACCTGATAAACGAAGAAGAAAAAATTAGTCATCATCCCAATTCTCGGCTTGAGGTCCCTTAGGATCTCGCCGTCCCCAAACCCGGTGACGCTGTAAAGGTCATCTGCGACACAACAGCATACACACTCAAAAATAAAGATCTCGTTCACAAACTATCAATAAACAAAACCAAAATATAATCCAAATGTTGTGAAATATTATACACAATGATCTTTTACGGCAGACAGTCTCGCCTTGACATTTTATCCAGGTATGTTGAAGAAGAGCTGTTTAAATATGTGTAAATGAGACGGACCACTTTTTATAGTTATTGCTTTATGTATATCAATGAGCAGGATAAAATATCAAGGTGACTTTACTAAAACATCATTATAATGTTGACTTATAACGTCGACTACGTTAAACAATTTATTAGTTTAAATCTAAAGAAAATATAACTAGAAAAAAATCCACGCGGACCAGGCAGCAGACGGGACTCGAACCCGCACCCTTCGCAATCCGGGCGAATGCACTGACCAATTATGCTACCGCGGCCCTCGCGGACCGCGTCGAAATTCTTCTAGCCATTCTTAAGCTGCAAGGCAGCGCCATCTCTTCGCATTGTAGGTAACCCACAATGTCAAATGAATACTTTTACAAGTATTAAACATTTGAAAGATGAAATAGCAATTATAGTTATAATTTTTATTATTTTAAAGCATGTAACTGCTTGATGTTTAAATCTAAAGAAAATATAACTAGAAAAACTAGAAAAAATTCCACGCGGACCAGGCAGCAGACGGGACTCGAACCCGCACCCTTCGCAATCCGGGCGAATGCACTGACCAATTATGCTACCGCGGCCCTCACTAAACAATTTATTAGTTTATCTATATTATCATCATTATCATCATCATCAGCCTATTAATGTCCCCACTGCTGGGGCACAGGCCTTCCCTATGGATGGAATAGGGAGATTGGGCCATGACCCACCACGCGGGCACAGTGCGGATTGGTGGGTGCTAACAGCTGCAGATGCAGCCGGGACCAACAGCTTAACGTGCCTTCCGAAGCACGGAGGAGCTCGAGATACTAAATTTTTAGTCACCCATCCAATGACCAACCACTACGACAGTTGCTTAACTTCAACGATCGCAGCCGAACGCGCTAACCACCTGCGCCATCGAGCTCCTCTATCTCTCCGATTTTATATTATTCTACCGAGCTCTCCTTATCTATATACATATAATAAAATGGTAGGAAAGTCAAAACTGTACATTGAATATTTTTCACTTGGGGTGTGGTCTACAATCTATACCGAAACCAAAAATATAGTTTTTAGAATTTTCTGTCTGTTTGCCTGTATGTATGTCCGGGATAAACTCAAAAAGTACTGCATGGATTTACTTCAAATTTGGCACGAATATTATTAAGAAGTCGAGTCAACATATAGGCTACATATTATTATGAAGGAGCAGTGAACCTTTATTTCTAAGTAACTCCACGCGTACGAAGTCGCGGGCAGCCGCTAGTCTTTAATAAAGTTTCTTTAGCAATTTTTATAGATTTAATATAATAATATATAATGATCATAATAATTTATTTGCATCATAAATATTTTTACAATCGTGAGGTACACTTGGTTGCAAACCACGGGCCACAGACCACAACCACAAAACGTATTTCTTGTAGTTTTCATACATTTTATATGGACTCGCCACACACGGTACGTCGGTGGCCGCCACACGCTACACATCGTCGTTGCTCGCTTCTTGTGGCCCGCACCGGCCACTTAATGCGCCGATACAAAACGCCGCCACACGTCACTCGCGCGATTCCCCACCCCTCTCTCCCTTACCTTAGTCGGCCGCTGTCGCGCGCTTCAGCCACTTTTAGTAGCCGCTTCTAGCTTCTCTTGGCGGCGTTTGTGGCTGTGGCTTGTGGCCCGTGTGCGGGGACACTAAAAGGAGTTCAAGTTGTTGGAACACTAGCTACCTTACTAAGTTGACTTGTATTAAGAGAGCTAGGCTGGAGCCATGTAATAATAATAAATTTATTTATTTCTTCTTAAAACAATTAAGGCACATAAAATACAGGTTAAGCAACACTTTTTTAATACTATTAGGCGTTGTAAGAAGCTGGTGACCGAAATAGGCGTTAACCTGTACTACGGATCACCAGGTCCTTAGCCCTGGCAAATAATCTCTATACAATGTTCTTTATAACCATAATGACCCTGTATAGTACCTAATATTTATTCATGGTAAATACAAAAAAAAAATAAAGGTTGAGAGATGAAAAACAAAACTTAATCTACTATATAAAAATAAGTCGGGTTTTCCTTCCTGACGCTATAACTCCAGAACGCACGAACCGATTTCCACGGTTTTGCATTCGTTGGAAAGGTCTCGGGCTCCGTGAGGTTTATAGCAAAGAAAATTCAGGAAAAATTAAAAAAAAAACTTTTAATCACCAAACGAAATGTTACATAAAACGAAGCCATCTGGTGGCGAAACGGAGTTCGCCGGGTTTGCTAGTCGTTTATAAATGCATGCTAGTTAATTATTATAAGCAAAAATTTGTTCACATATCAGAATTTATTTTAGATGGCTAAGTAGATTTTGTGTTGGCTGAAGTTACAATATTAGGCATTTATGGCTCATAGATATGATTGCTTCAGCATGAACATTATAAATACAATCTTTAGGCCAATTACAAAAACTTATTATGTACACATTAGCAAACCAGTGAACCAAATGTTCACCAAAACCTGACTTAAAAAAAAAATGTACTTAATTAATTGAGAACTTCGGAGATTTTGTGTGGTTACGTTTGAAATTCGTGATTTCTCGAAAACCGGAAGTGCTACGTTACTCAAATCCGGTTTGTAGTCTTATCAGACTATTCTTAACTTATAACTTAAATATTCTCTTTATCTATCTCTTACGGTTTGGCCGCTGAAACAGCACCACAGACGGACGGACGGACTTGTCTAATAGATAAGAGATTAGATGCTAACGCGGCGTTGCTATACACCGATGTTACATTTGTTATTAAATTGTATAAATATGTTATAATATACAAAGAGAATTAAGTTTAGATGTTGATAAGACGTAACGGATAGAATACGTAATATACTGTACATATATTTATATAGAAATACATATAAAACATCCATGACTGGAGTACAAATGCTCGTATTCATCACACAAACATCTGCCCCCACCGGGATTCGAACCCGGGCCTCTCGGTCCGGCGACACCATGAAACCCGGCGTACAAACCTGGCCACGGAGTTCGTCAAGGAGGTCGTATTTACTCTCATAATTAGTTCTAAGGCTGCAAGGCAGCGCCATCTCTTCGCATTGTAGGTAACCCACAATGTCAAATGAATCGGGGGGGCACGGCAGTGCCACCGCCAAGGCGAAGCAAACACTGCCGTACCATCCTTTACTGGAACCATTTCGCCGCATTTTCAGGCCCCTATTTGAGAAACTCTGGATAAGACCAGAACGCAGAAGTTTTTGTCATCCAGTAAGCTATAATCACATACTTAAAATCCAAAATTTCAAGTCATTTAATTCGGAAGTCAAGTGAAAGCAAAGTTTCGCATTTATGACACTTACTCACTCATGATCATCAGAATAGAATTAGTACTTCCCAAAAACTCAGAGAGCTGAAATTTGGTACAGAGTTAGGGTTTAATGGCCACATAAAGGGAAAACTATAAAAACTAAGATAATCGAAGATATCGAAGATCTGGAGTACCTAGTAACCCTGATTAAAAAACACAAGAGCCTAACAAGAGACAAGACTTGGCACGACTTTGTCTAGATTTCGTTACTTTTTAGAGATAAACAAGCAGCTCCATCGAGACTTGGCTAGTTTTTTACAAAATGTTTTTGGTGGGATTACCTTAACAAGTACCTACATATTAAAAAAAATATGTGTTTGTTTTTTATTGGCCTTTACATGACAAAAGTCATTTTGGACGAAGACGACGCAAAAAAAACCAACTCGTATGATTTTAATGTAATTTTCCTTATCGTGAACGCGCTTAAAGGATGAATGTTAGCTTAAAATTTGAGTCAGTATAAAATAAATATACCTATGTGTAATAATTGTTACCTCTGGTTGGGTGACCAAAATCTTCTATCTCGAGTTCCTCCGTGCTTCGTAAGGCACGTGAAGCCGTTGGTCCCGGCTGCATCTGCAGTCGTTAGCACCCACCAATAAGCATAGGGTCCGCGTGGTGGGTCATGTTCCAATCTCCCTATTCCATCCACAGGGAAGGCCTGTGCCCCAGCAATGGGGACAATAATAGGCTGATAATGATGATGATGATAAATTGTCATGTATTGACCAAAATTTTAAGTTTATTGTGGTTCCGTATTCATTCTATGACGTCTAGACTTGCACCGAATATTCGGTTACTATTCGGTATTCGGCCTTTTCGGCTGCTTTTATTATATTCGGCCGAATACCGAATACTTAAATAATATATTTTGTCATAGAGAAATAATTGGTAAAATGAAAAATTAATATCGATTGATTACGTATATATTCATATTTTCATTTCTGTCATATATAATCTATGACATATATAATATATATATAAAGTAGTCATTGGTACATAATCATCTTCTGAATTGGAAAAATGGAGGATTCTATGTATTTGAATTATTGTGGTAATCAAAATTTAGAAGGGTAAGATTCTCATTTCTCATATATTCATTTATTAAGTAGTCATTGGTACATAAAACAGGTACATAATTTAATCATTTTCTGTATTAAACAAGATAAGTTTTTAATTGATTCAGTTATGTGATGAATGGTTACATAATAGCAGTAATTTAAAGTTTACGCGCCGTTTTTGGCCATATCTCAAAAGTTGGTTTTGTCATTTAGCCGCATTTTAGCTTGAGGACGGCAGATTGGAACAAAACAAAGGAGCGCGATACAATCACGTCTGTACAAGTTTTTGGCGCTAAAATTCAGCCGAATACTTTTGTCTAATATTCGGCTATTCGGTCAGGGGCCTCGCCGAATATTCGGTATTCGGTATACTGCCGAATATACTATTCGTTGCAAGTCTAATGACGTCTCATCCTGTTTCCTTCATCATTCACTCTACTAACTATATTATTTATATATTTTTGTTTAATTACCATTTGCGTTCAGTACTCATCCCAAGACCAATATTATCAGGAAAAGTATGGCTGACCTGAGTTTATGCTTATAATTTCAAATCGATATCTCCACGCGCTCCCGATATTTCCCGATAGGTTCCCGTTGTCCGTCCATCCTCCTGTCAACACCTTATTCTCAGGAACGTGAGGAAGTGTCAAGCTGAAAGAAGGATGGCCAAATCGTACCTGATGAGGAAACGATGACGTCCCAATATGCCATATATATAGGGTTACCATATCTCAGGATTTGTCCTGAGATTACAGGATTTTTGGACTCTTCTCAGGATTGCGGCTGGATTTTGCAAATCTCATGAAATCTCAGGATTTTTTGAATTTCCAATAAAATACAGCTTACGTTTTAAAATAACAATAATCTTGTATTGGTAATAATTGCACAATTAAAATCAGTACTTTATTATCCAAGTAGGTACTTATTCAGTTTTATCATACTTAATATGTGAAGTAACATTTTTAAGTAAGGTTTTTTCTTCAATTATGGATTCATATAATGCCCCACATTTTAAGCTCTTCAAATTATATAGATATAAAGTATAAGCAGAGTATAAACGATAATACTACGACTTTTTTTAAATTGTTAAGAACGTTTGAGAGCAAATTCTCAAACTGTAAAAAATCTCAGGATTTTTCAATGGAAATGAAGCCTTTTCTCCGGACTTTTGATTTTGTCATCTGGTAACCCTACATATATATCATAAAATCCCTTATTTATAAAGGTTTTAGAAAATATAAGCAAAATATCCATATTATCCCACATTAAAAAGATATACCTTTTTTTGTGTTTTGGTTATTTATTTGAAATTATTTTGAATAACAGGTTCAGAACGCACCCATTGACTATTAATTTCGCAAATGAAATGGTTTAATATTCATACAATATGTATAAATTATTTCTTTTTCTAAATACTTGTTAACCGTAATTCAATTAACAGTTAGGCATCTGATCAACTAAGTACTGACTACAATACCAACTTACTTACTAGCTTTTACATAAGCGAAGCTATCCAACTCTCGCCCAAAAATTAGGCTTTCCGAATTCAGCATGTTAGATAAATTTAAATATACATATAATGGTATACTAAGCACATACACATTTTAAAGAAAAATCATCAGTAGTACACTCATCAGTATGCCTCGCTCCATTTCAAGTCATCATCATTACATCAAAGTCATAGGAGGCCCCATTATCCTAATATGCCCAGGGCCTCCAATAGCCTGACCATGTACCCTGTTTTTTATGAGTCGTTGCAACAGTGCCGAAATATCGGAGACTCATAAAAAACAAGGTACATGGTAGCAATCCCGTTAATAGCTATAATGTTAGTGACCGTGAAAGTTTAAAACAATATATCATCATCAGCCTATTAATGTCCCCACTGGTGGGGCACAGGCCTTCCCTATGGATGGAATAGGGAGATTGGGCCATGACCCACCACGCGGGCCCAGTGCGGATTGGTGGGTGCTAACGACTGCAGATACAACCGGAACCAACGGCTTAACGTGCCTTCCGAAGCACGGAGGAGCTCGAGATAGTAAATTTTCGGTCACCCATCCAATGACCGACCACTGCGAAAGTTGCTTAACTTCAACGATCGCAGCCGAACGCGCTAACCAGTTGCGCCATCGAGCTCCTCATATAAATCAAACAATATATATATCAGATTAATTTTTCCTATTTTTCCAGGTATAAGTGTCACCTTGTTAGCATCCCAGCTGCCTTCAGCATCAGCCGTGCGTGCCACGTCGCTGATCTTCCAGAAGACTACCACCACCACCCCAGCTCCTGAGGAACCATCAGGGCCTGACGATGAAGCCCAGGTAACCACCACAAAAGACAGAACTTCAATGAAAATGTCACTCGCAACAGTGCCGAAATATCTGAGACGCGCTATATACAAGGTACTAGGTATGGTAGGCTGAATACATAAATAACTATAAGGCCGGCAATAGGCTAGTTGACACTTTTTGGAAATATGTTTTAAATGGTTAATAATTGTTCAATTAGTCAGAAAAAAAATGTATTGTATTTTTTTTTAACCTAGCAAGCTACAAAACTTTAAATAAATTTTTCATGGACATACAAAAACGCCGTCGGCCATTTTAGTCTATAGATTATATCTATGGTATGACGGGAACAATAGTAAACAAACACTCGCAAGCACGTAGGATATAACCTATCTGAATTTATATTACAAAACTATGATTTCTAATAGATTTCATGATAAATATAGTAATTATCATGATTGTATTATACGAGAATAAAGAAACACAACGTTAAAAGCTTCAGAAATGTTGTGTCTTCAATTTTTAAGGTTATGAATGTACCTGCTAAGTCAAAGAGTTTTGTCGTTTCTGCTTTCACAAATCCGGCGTCCAGCATTAATTTAGACAAGAAAACCAATAAACGGAAACTTTTCTTCAAGATATAAGAGTTTTTAGATATATTTTAGTCGGACGAAAGAAACCACAGTAACACGACAATGACGTTTAGTTGTTTTGCTATTATGTTGACGTCACAATCATGGTTGACAGCGTTTTTAGTGTTTAAAAAGCAAAGACTAAAAAACTGTTTTTCAATTTAAATTACTACAGCCATCTTCTAATTTTATGAAGTGAAATCGATGTATTTAGGTTTCTCATACCAAAAATTATAAGAAATAAACATTTCTATAGTGCAATTTGACATGAGTCAACTAGCCTATTCTCATGGCTAATTGTATTTGCTATTTGGAAGCTTGACAGTAGATTCTTCATTTCATTGCCTATCATATGGTATCAGACTTTCTGATGACGCCCTTACAAAATAAGCATTCTCTTTTTTTATGAGTAAAAGAGCAAAAATATATATGCTACTTGGATCACTGAAGCTGCATCTATTTATTTATTTAAACTTTATTGCAAAATAGTAGCAAATGGCGGACATAATGCCATTATCTTAGATTTAAACTAAAAGGGATGATAATCCGCTTAAATTGTGGTGCAGGACCATAATTTGCTTTTCAAACCCGTTGACGCTGTAAAGGTCATCAGCGACTAACAGCATACACACTCAAAAAAAAATCGCTTTAGTCACAAATTGAATATTCAAACTCGCTGCATGTGCACTCAATATAACAATATTGTGTATATTCTGTGTTATAAAGTTAAAACAATGCCTTCGATGCTTTTATAAATAACACAAACAGTTCAAAGTCAAATAACAAATGCCTCGGCAACACTTTTCAATCGTAAAACTGTAAAATCATTTGTTTTTTCTCAAAAATCACGGTTTATCGTAAACGTTTTGTACGTAATCGCCATTTTGTTATCAAGAAAAGGACAACAATACAGCTCAGCGGCTACAGTGAAGCGGACTCATCGTTTCGCTCGCGCTGCGTTGAAGCGTACAGTTCTGTCTTGTTCGCTCGATTGAATGTCCGTACGCGAAGGGGACTCGTGAAGCGGACTCACCGTTTCGATCGCGTTGCGTTGAAGCGTACAGTTCTGTCTTGTCGCTCGATTGAATGTCCGTACGCGAAGGGGACTCGTGAAGTGGACTCACCGTTACGCTCGCGCTGCGTTGAAGCGTACAGTTCTGTCTTGTTCGCTCGATTGAATGTCCGTACGCGAAGGGGACTCGTGAAGTGGACTCATCGTTACGCTCGCGCTGCGTTGAAGCGTACAGTTCTGTCTTGTTCGCTCTATTGAATGTCCGTACGCGAAGGGGACTCGTGAAGCGGACACACCGTTTCGCTCGCGTTGCGTTGAAGCGTACAGTTCTGTCTTGCTCGCTCGATTGAATGTTTGTACACAGATCATATTTTAGATTTAGATTCAGTTGAGTTGGATCATATTTTATTTTATGCTATTATGAGCGTACCGTATCTTTCTTTTTTGTTTTAATCTAAGGCCATAACTATAAGGCATTCTCTACCAGTCAACCAGTAAGAGCGTGAGAAAAAATGTAATGTAAGGGGGGCGCAATAAATACAAATGTAAGATAAACCATGGATATATACTGTTAATGGAATACACACATAAATATACAGAAACATACCAAGGATATTTAATATCCTAGCTACAACAACACAGACACACTCGTGCCCGAAACCTGTCCAAAAGGTACATTGGACGATCCACGGAAATGTGTAAGATGATCGCGTAGTCAATAGGTCATAATATTAGGCATTATTTAAACATTCAAACGAAATGAACATTTGTCTAGTAGAGAGTCTGTGCGGAAAGAGAATGGGCGTGGCGAAAAACGGAACTAACATTAAGATTTTTATTTGGCAATCAAACCCAGCAATCTGTAAAACGTCAAAGTTTTGTATTGATACGGATTTGTTTGTTGTTGTGATTTCTTGCGTTTTTTTGTATTTAATCATGTTTAAAAGGGGTAAAACCTTACAAATACGGTAGAAAAACACTACAGCGCCCTCCAATCTAAATCCAATTCTCTTTCCGCACAGACTCTAGTACAATTTGACATGAGTCAACAAGCCTATTGTCTATGGCAGTAGACGCTCATACGTCATGGCATTACTTCTATGCTTTGATTATGAGTACTTTAAAAAGTATGATAAGGACAACCTGCTATCGAAATGACAAATATATAATATAATGACATAGTGGAAAACAATTTAATTAACTTGAAAATGCATTTCAATCCAATATTCACAATTTACAAAAACACTTTTAAAGCTGATCTAATAACGTAATAACACCCCAATTCCTTTATTCAGGGCCTACTGTCACCAAGTTTCTTAAATCTTTAAAAGCAAATCATGTTTAAATCTCAGTCTATCTCTGTTTGTCTTTGAATAATTGACAAAGATGGAATTATGAGTTAAGCAGGACCAAGTCTTAATTTGAATTAAGCACTTTGATGCCAATAGCCCTGAAAAAGTGTTACAATCATTATATTTTTTAAGCGTTTAACTTGAATTTAGTTCCATAAATTGTCGCATCTTAAACTACTTGAATACTTCAAGCTACAAAATAGGCATGTCGAAAGTTGAAAAAAATATCGATGTATCGATACATCGATCTTTTAAAAAATATCGATATCGGGTTCGATATATCTCGAAAAAAACATCGATATATCGGACCAATTTTCCCAAAAATACCGTACAGTATCTCACGAAAATTATCTCCCTAAAAATAGACCCTATTTTCGAATGATGAAAATGATTGCAGGGCCTCTCAGGTAAATGATTGCAGATTGCTTTCGTAAACAAGACCAGACAGTCACACACTTCACAGAATTTAATGGAAATCAACACAACCAATTCACCAGCGAATAATAGACAATACTAAATACAGCACAGATCATAGATATGTATCTGAGATCCAGTTACGATTTTTCCAGATACGAATTTAGTTAGATCGTGATACGCCGCTAATAATTAAAAAAATATCGTTTTTGATACGAATTTCGATATTGGTTATTTTGTATCGATGTATCGATATATCAAATCAAAATATATCGGCAAAAAATAGCGATATATCGAACAAAATATATCGATATATCGATACATCGATATATTTTAAACAAGCCTACTACAAAAACAAGCGGAAATATCACTGATTTAATAAAGTGTAATCATTAATTATTCGGATATCTAGTCGCATTACAACAGCCAAGACGCGGAAGTGAAAAGTTATTCGCCTTGATGTAAGTCACTACTTGCATTCCTACACCCGTCGAAATGTTATATTGCAAGTTTTCATCTATATATATAAAAAACTCAAAGGTGACTGACTGACTGACATAGTGATCTATCAACGCACAGCCCAAACTACTGGACGGATCGGGCTGAAAGGCATGCAGGTAGATGTTATGACGGAGGCATCCGCTAAGCAAGGCTTTTGATCAATTCTACCCCCAAGGGGATAAAATAGGGAATGAAAGTTTGTATGAAACTTTGTCAATTTTAAACCGAACCGAAAAAACAATTCTAATGCTATTCTATCTACTTACAAGTTCTATTCAGTTTGCAATTGTGACTAAATTATTGTCGCCAATTTATCTATATAATTCTAGAATAGTTATTCCAACCTTGACAATATAAAAAGACTTTCATCTCCTGGTGTAGAAAAATAGTCACGATTATTTAAGGTCATAAACGTTTAGCAAGCTAACCATACTAATATTAGTAATATGACAGCGTGTCTGTTTGTCAGTTCCACTAAATCGATTTGGATTATATAATTAAATATTTTCAACACTCAAACAAATAGCCTAGCCCCAAAGTAAGCACTGTAAGGCTTGTGTTATGGGATACTAGGGTAACGGATAGAATACATATACTGTACATATATAAGTATATTTTTAAAGAAATGCATATTAAACATCCATGACTAGAGTACAAATTCTCGTATTCATCACACAAACATCTGCCCCCACCGGAATTCAACCCGGGGACCTCTCGAGTCGGCGACACCATGAAACCCGGCGTACAAACCACTCGGCCGCGGAGGTTGTCATATTTAAGGGATTAAATTTGGTCGTCAAATTTAAGGGATTAAATTTGGTATAAATTGTTTGAGTCCCGGGATAGGACATAGAGTTCTTTTTGACGTGATAGCGTGTTATAAATCGGTGAACACCGGCTGTACGCACGAGAAAGTGTCACGTTCCGCCAGAGCCTGAGCGTGCGAGCGAGAGCGCGTAACAAGCGATAGAGAGGCACGATCGGACCAAGCCGAGGCTTGTACACATTTATCTCTAGCTAGCAATTATGCGATTGTTCATCAATGTTTCTTTATGACGTTATCTCGTAAAACTATCGTCCGTAAACCGAGTTTACAGACAACCAATTTTTTCCCTAGAAATCAAATGCGAAGCCTAAATTTAATAAAGCAATCTTATTAAATTTAGGCTTCGCATATAGGTATTTTTAGGGTTTCATACCTCAAAAGGAAAAAGGAGCCCTTAAAAGATCTGTTTGTTCTCCGCCTGTCCCTCTTTCTGTTTGTCAATTTGTGGAGCTATCGGGTTGAATAACGCCCTGGCAAATGACTGGTAAAAATACTTTAATTTGTGGGTCATAAGGTTGATTTCACATTTTCGTTTTTTCACCTTTATCGTATTGTTTCCAAGTACATATAATTTATTGTCTTGTTCGTTTTAATAGATAAAAGGTCGTATGTACGAAGTAACATTTTGTTATCTGTAACTTTATTCCTTTGTGACATGGTTGTTATTAGGTTCAACTTAAACTGTTTTAAAACATTTGTCTTTGTTCATCGGGGATAGAATCTAGCTGCATGAGTTTAAACATGCGCGGACTTTTTTTAGCTTTGATTTTTAATGAAACTCGTTATCTATAGAATTGTTGATCGAAGCTTCGTGCACACAATTTTTTTATTAATATTCATTTGCATGTGAGCAAAAAGACTGTCATTTGTATATTTCATTCCAATTCTCTCCGCAGGTGGAACCGACTGCCGAAGGCGCTGCGGAACAACAGAACAGCACAAGCAAGTTGACAGGAATACCACAGATCGACTATATATACGACCCAAATCTCCCGCGCGAGCTGAACGGGTATGTCTACTTCTCGTTAGGCCCAACTTTAGGATTTGCAGCAATGATATTAAATACCCTAGATACAGCAACACGAACAAAATCATGCCGGAAACCTGTCCAAAAGGTACATTGAACGATCCACGGAGCTCCGTTCTTACGATGATCGCATAGTCAAAAACAATATACCGCATTATTTATTATATGTCAATGACAGGTGTAATGTCATAAAGAAGGGTTATGTATACCAATTCGCAGACGATACATGTCTACTGGTGGCCAACAGGAACATAAATCTTGCACAAATCGATATGCTGGAAAGCTTTGATCAGTTATGTAAGTGGGCACATGATGTAGGATTGGTGATAAAATAAAATCAAAAATAATTCACATACACTCATCGCAGAATAGGACACCTGATACACCGACCATCCTGGCTCACAGTCATCAATGCCTGCATAGTGATACGAATGTTTGCTCATGTCCAACTTTAGAGGTAGTAGAAAGTCATATGTATATTGGTCTTATTATCGATCACAGATTCAACTGGGGATATCATAAAAATTATGTATGTTTAAAACTAAGGTCTATTCTAAGCAAGTTTGCTGTGCTTAAATATAAGCTTCCATACAGAACCCTCAGATTAATGTATATGGCCCTAGCTAACTCAGTTATTGGCTATGGCTTGAGCAGTTATGGTTTGACATATGATACATATTTGAAAGATATATACAGATTACAAATAAGAATCTTAAAAACTATTGTACCAAAATACATTTAAAACTTGTTGTTTAACCATTGTAAAGTATTGAGTGTATACGATAAAGTCAAATTTTGTGCACATAATCTACAGACTCACCATCGTAACCAGAATACTTGCGTAACCTTAATTATAATAAATATCTCCTACCGCAAACCAACAATGTATATGGTTCGGGAACACTAACATATGTTATTCCTAAATTTCTTAAAGAAATGCCCCCCAGTATTCAAGAATTGTATGTGAAAAATAATCGTAAATATAAACTTAAGAAATATTTGTTAGAGCGAATCGCTGTAGACAGATAAACTCATGTTTAAGGGTTTTTAGATACAGCCATTGTATATTAAAATGTAATTGATTTGATTGAATAAATAAATTAATAAAATTTAAACATTTAAAGTCATCTTTAATGCATACGGTATAAGATCTTAATTAAAACGCATGCGTCAAAAAGTTATGACAGTTCGAAATGCAATTAAGTAAAATTTTACGACTTATTGCTATATGTGAAAGAATATAGACCCTATTTCTTTGACTCTACGCGCAGCTTTGAATACGCTGTTAGCAATATAGCAGGTACGGACCGCGAGGAAAAGAGACGGCTATATTACCAACCATGTATTTGAATATCACAAAATTATCTAGAAAATCAATTATAGTAAGTATTAGAACAAAATTTACTACAAATGCGTTAAATTTACAAAAACCGATTAGATTCTGTCGAAAAACGACACTTTGGATACTATAAGTATTATTTTCGCATTTTTTCGCGGAGCTCTGTGGGATCTTGACTTTGTAGCGGTCCGCGCGTGACTGTGGACCAAGAAGTGCTTGAGTGGAGTTCAAGCACTTCTTGATTGGGACACATTTTGAGCGCAGGTGGTGTACCTAGGGTATTATATCGTTGATTCGCAGTAATAATTAACCATTTTCAAGACTTGACAACATTTTATATACATAATACAGTTTTTTACACAATTCTAACAAAACAAATGTGTGAGTGGACTGTGTGTGTGATATGTGAGGTGTTTGTATGTTGAAAGTTAGGTGATATACGCAGTTCTTGCCAAATCAAAAGGATGAGTTAAATCCAGTAACCTTAACCATCTAGCTTCGCACACCAACGCACGGCGCCGCGGTGCTTTAGGGCAACAGGATCTTGCAGCAAGAACTTTCACTCCGCACAATGTTCTATAGCACAGCTATAAACTGTAGGAATTTATTTCCACTCAATGTGACTGGTAATGGAGACACGACGTGAAAAACGTTTGTCCTGTTCGCACCATAATAAGGAGAGTGCCCGAGCATAAATAGTGAATCAATTTAAACTTACCCTCTTAATATTTGGCAAGAACTGAATATATAAAATATGATCCGACTCAACTACATGAGCAACTCTCACACACGCACACGTCTGTATATAAACATTCAATCGAGCGAGCGAGACAGAACTGTACGCTTCAACCAAGCGCGAGCGAAACGGCGAGTCCGCTTCCGAGTCCGTACGGCTGAGCTGTATTGTTGTTCTTTACTTGATAACAAAATAGCGATTGCTCAATGTGTGTGTAATTTACTCGGACGTGCTGCTACTATTGTTAGAACTAGCTACTTGATAATTTTTATTTAATTATTTGCTTTTAATAATTAAATAAACAACTAAGTAAATAAAATGGCGCCCATAGGTACAACCTCACCGAGTACCCTTTCTACGAGACTGTACCTCCACCGGAATTGATCGACTTCAAATGTGACGGGTTACACGACGGATTTTACGCTTCAGTGCCACATAAGTGTCAGGTGAGAATCTATACTAATATTACAAATGCAAAAGTGTGTTTGTCCGTCTGTGTGTTACCTCCTTACGTGAGAAAGTTAAGTCCTGGAAAAGGATAAAGGATAGTGTTTAACTCCGAAATCAACCATTAAGGGGATGAAAAAAGTGGTGAAAGTTTGTAAGGGAAACCAATTTTTGACGTATATGAACCCACTAGTCATTCATAAAGATACTATCTTTTTTATGGCGAACTTAGTACCGCCATAAAAAGGAAGTTAATTGTGGAAGGGTGAAAATATTGCTAAATCATAATAACAATATTGTTGTCCATTAACCAAAATGAATGCGATCTGATACACTGGAAATGTGATAGCTTACATAACGGGTTTGCGCCTTGGTGCCATATAAGTGTCATATAAATAATAAATAAATAAATAAATATTTCTAACACTTACATCAATTAGCCTAGTCCCAAAGTAAGCACTGTAAGGCTTGTGTTATGGGATACTAGGGTAACGGATAGAATACATATACTGATACATATATAAGTATATCTATATAGAAACACATATTAAACATCCATGACTGGAGTACAAATGCTCGAATTCATCACCCAAAACATCTGCCCCCACCGGGATTTGAACCCGGGACCTCTCGAGTCGGCGACACCATGAAACCCGGCGTACAAACCACTCGACCATGGAGGTCGTCAATGATGAATTCATCATTTATTCCCTAACGACAATAAGTTTTTTTTTTATTATAATCAGGCAACGTACGCCCATAGATAAATATCTTATTGTATACAGATATGAGTAATACATTAAATGTTAATTATAACTGTGTTAGTAGAAACCTAATATCATGGGTTGATTATCTACCGCGACATCGACCGCGTTAAGGTCTCCATTTTTATGGTTAATATTGGTACTTACTATTGGTAAATGAAAATTTAAAATCGTTTTAGTACATTTAACCCCTCAGTAATAGACGAGGAATAAGCTTAGATTAGTTACGCCATGTTTCGTTCATATCACTGAAATACCATTTTTCATGCGATGAACGGAGACAAAACATACTTAGGAACTTATACTACCTTAGTATTCGTTTATTGATAAGGGGACAAGAGATTACCGCCTGCAACTCCACAAACTTTACCTCTTTATGATGTCTATATATATAAAACTCAAAGGTGAGACTGACTGACTGACATAGTGATCTATCAACGCGCAGCCCAAACCACGTAGGCATTCGCTAAGAAAGGATTTTGATAAATTGTACCCCCAAGGGAAAAATATAGGGAATGACAGTTTGTATGAAATTTGAAACCGATCGGGCTGAGACTTTGCATGCAGGTATAAGAAGAATCATAGATGAATGTCATTGTGTATAACACAAGCCTGAGAACAAAAACTGTAGTCTACACTTCAGCTCTACACCGAAGCGAAGCGAGGGCGGGCCACTAGTTAGTATAGATAACTCTTCCCCAGAGACTACAATTATAGGAGAATGGGCTAAATGGATGAACCTAACCCCTGGTTTCTGAAAAGTGTCCAATCATTATTTAACAGACATGTTCATGCCTGTCAATTTAACATCAGTATTTTAAACCTTTAAATTAAATTCTGGACATCCGAAACGGCCTTACCGCAACGAATTTTTACTTAATTTTTACTTTTTAGAAGCTGTGTAAACAGACATTCGTATTGATTCTGCATGATTCTCTAAACCTAGACTTAAATTTGACAACAGATTATCCTTGTCATTCACTATACAGTATGCAAAGGTCTCTCCTTTTCTTTCTTAATTAGCTTACTTTTCTGACGTTAAATTATGTATTTAATAATTAATTTTAAGAAAATTGTATTGTCAGCTTACCAGGGCTTGTTTACCGGTTAATTTTCAAACCTAAATCAGTGTCAAGTACATTAGGAGCGTTTTATTTAGGTTTGGCTCTACCTTAACCTTTAAAAACCGGTTTTCTTTTCGGTTTTTTTTCGGTTTTCGGTTTTTTTTTCGGTTTTCGGTTTTTTCGGTTTTTTCGGTTTTTTCATCAATTTTCATTTGATGGGGTTGATATGGACAATCCGGACTGAAAGTACCTTAAACAAGAAAAAACAATATTATCCCCCATCTTCTAAACCGACTTTTGTGACATTAGCTTCACAATTCTGTTTGTTTTCCAGGTATACCACCATTGTCTGTTTGGCACGCGATACGATTTCCTGTGCGCTAACTACACAGCGTTCGATCAGAAGACATTCATTTGCCATTTCGTATCCGAAGTTGACTGCAAGAATTCGCCTAATTATTTTAACAGGTAATTTATTATGTATTAAGTTGAAAGTATTGGTGAGTCTGTCTGCCTGTCTGTTACCTCTGCAAATGGGAAGTTGAATTTTATGAACGGACATAGAATAGTTATTTTCCAAGAATTCATCCTTTCAAGGGGATGAAAAAGGTGATGGAATTTTCCACGCTCGGGTTATTATTTTAACAAGTAATTTACTGTTTTAGTTTAAAAGCATTATACTTCTTGATGTATAAATCTAAAGAATTTAGATTTTTTTTCTGGTTTCCTCCAAAAACATCTTTTGGTATTTCTCTGTTTTTCCATACACACTTACATCACATAAAAAATGTCCACAGATCAAGTTTGCAACTTAAGTAGGTACGCAATTAATTTCTCAGAATTTACAAAAAAAAACATCTTTAGTTTTAATTTTTATTATTTTTAAAGCATGTAACTGCTTGATGTTTAAATCTAAAGAAAATATAACTAGAAAAAATTCCACGCGGACCAGGCAGCAGACGGGACTCGACCCCGCACCCTTCGCAATCCGGGCGAATGCACTGACCAATTATGCTACCGCGGCCCTCACGGACCGCGTCGAAATTCTTTCTAGCTATTCTTAAGCTGCAAGGCAGCGCCATCTCTTCGCATTATAGGTAAACCCACAATGTCAAATGAATACTTTTACAAGTATTAAACATTTGAAAGAAGAAATAGCAATTATAGTTATAATTTTTATTATTTATAAAGCATGTAACTGCTTGATGTTTAAATCTAAAGAAAATATAACTAGAAAAAATTCCACGCGGACCAGGCAGCAGACGGGACTCGAACCCTCACCCTTCGCAATCCGGGCGAATGCACTGACCTGATCTTTAGTTTTGTAACTCTAACTAGATTTCATTTATTCAAATAGTTTCATCCATTTAATTTAAACATTTATTCATTTGATTATTTCTTCCATTTTACATTTCGTTGATTTGTTCCTTTCATTAATTTCAATTAATCATTAAAACGCAGCATGATATTTGTTTTTTTTTACGAGAGAAATTAAATTCGTACGGCTGATATGATAATGGAAAATTTGCTATTAATTCTTAGGAACAAAGCTTTCTAATTACCTATGACCAGTACATGACGTAATTTAGCTGTTGGTTACAAAAATAATAAAAGTACAAAGCTTTTGTATAGATACTAGGGTCCAGCAGCAATTTTGCTAAATCTAAGTTTAATTAAAACTAGACTTAGCCCATACAATAATGTCAAATTTATATTGACGTTTTGACATTTTTCTAAGTTGTCTAGGTTAATAAATAAGTTTCCTGCAAGTGAGCCTGAATCTGCTTAGTATGGACAACGCATGTTACGTTTTACGGGAACCTATACTAAGACTCCGCTGTCTGTCTGTCTGTCACCATGCCGTATCTCATGAACCGTGATAGGTAGATAGTTGAAATCTTCACAAATGATGTATTTCTGTTGCCGCTATAACAAGAAATAAATACAATAAAATAATATATAATTTTTGCCGTTTTTTGCTCTGTTACTAACGGCAACGTGTAGACGCTTGGAATATTCACATAATATTTAATAGTACACCTATTTATTCACTTAAAAAATAAAATAAATGTTATAGGCGTTTTCATACAAAAGACGTATTATTTTTTTAAAAATAAAATAAATATTAAAGGGGTTTCAATACAACAGACGTGTAGGAAGGCCTAAGGGGAAGATCTTCCTCCGAGCTGAGTGATGTTAGCTCGGAGGCCGCGGCCCGACTGATGTTGGTCGGGCATCGTATATATGAACTATTGGCTACCGAATTTTACTTGCGCGATGTAGGTTTCCTTACGTTGTGAACGCAGCGCCGGTAGTGCCATCTCTTGAGGAGGCGTAAGATTGTTTCCTCTATGTTAGTTATATGTGGGGCCTGTAGATGTCGCCGCTACAGACGTATTATTTCTGCTTGTAAAGAACCCTTCGTGCGCGACTCAGGCACAAACTTAGCCGGTTTTTCTATAAGTAATTATTAAAAAATAATACCTTCTCCCCCCACAGGAACGAAGCTCTCTACAAAGCCACTACTACCGCCCCCCCTCCCACCACAACAACTACAACGACCACTACAACTACAGTCCGCCCCCCTCGGCCGGGACGTCGTCGTCCCCCCTCTAGATACGACTACTACGACTACGCAGATGAAGATTACGAATACGACGACAGGTTGGTTAATATTATTGTATGTATTACGAATACGACGACAGGTTGGTTAATATTATTGTATGTATTACACGCTAATTGCTTTTGCTTTGACCCACACGACAACGTCCTTGAGTTATGCACTTTTATCAATACACGACGTGTAAGTAAAAACAGTCATGCACCTTTCTTGTTCACGCATATCAAAGACGCGTATTCACACTACCTACCCTCAAATCCAATATTATAATTGTCAAATAAATTAGTCTTTTAGTAAATAACTAGCAAACCAGTGTACCAAATGTTCACCAAAACCTGATTTAAAAAAAATGTATTTAATTAATTGAGAACTTCGGAGATTTTGTGTGGTTTCGTTTGAAATTCTTGAGTTTTCGAAAACCGGAAGTGCTACGTTACTCAAATCCGGTTTGTAGTCTTATCAGACTATTCTTAACTTATAACTTAAACATTCTCTTTATCTATCTCTTACGGTTTGGCCGCTGAAACAGCACCACGGACGGACGGACTTGTCTATTAGATAAGAGATATCAATCAATATTCTCATATTACAGTAAACTGTGTTGTATTGCATTACATTTAAAGAGTGGAGGGCTGATAACCTGAGACACGGGTTTTTTCCTAGTTCAGGTGTCAGCCCGCCATAATTAGATAAGTGACCTTTTTACTTAGTGTTTTTAATGAAATAAGAAACTCATTATGGTGAGAAATAAAGAATTATTATTATTATATTAATTAATATTTTTATAAATAGGACTGGTAACTATGTGACGCCCTGAAAGGTCATAGTAAAATTATAATAATTAATGTTTAATTGGAGGAGCTCGATGGCGCAGGTGGTTAACGCGTTCCGGCTGCGATCGTTGAAGTTAAGCAACTTACGCAGTGGTCGGTCATTGGATGGGTGACCAAAAATCTTCTACCTTGAGTTCCTCCGTGCTTCGATTCATCTGCAGTCGTTAGCACCCACCAATCCGCACTGGGCTAGTGTGATGGGTCTTGGCCCAATCTCCCTTATTCCACCATAGGGAAGGCCTGTGCCCCAGCAGTGGAGACATTAATAAGCTGATGATGATGAATACAGAATTAATCACAAATTATGTCATCAATGAAATTTTCGTATTCTTACGTTTTCGTAAGCAGTTATCTTAAAGTTATAAACCAATGTAACGAAACAAAGTAACAAGAGTAAGTCAAAACCCAAAAAATACCAATAAAACCAATCTTTAGGTCAGTTTATAAAGTAAACGACTGCGGTGTACCACAAGGGAGTATTCTGGGTCCAAAGTTTTTCTTAGCGTACATAAATGATATTCCCAATACATTAACAACAGAAGATTGCTTTTTATTTGCTGATGTGCCACAGTAATTGTAAAAGAAAAATACAGGAAATTTAAAGACAAAAGGATTAATAAGGATTCAAGCAATATCAATATATAACAAGCTGCCGCACTGTATTAAAGATTTCTTCATCATCAACAGCCTATCCCAGTCCACTGCTGGACATAGGTCTCTCCAATTGATTAACGATGTACCTTTTAGAAAAGCAAATTATCTTTTAGAAAGCAAATTGTCTACTTGGCTTATAGAAAATTGTTTTATACACTAGATGAGTACTTAAAATTTCAACGACAGTAGTGAATTCTTTTTCAAATATAGTTTTCCAAAATGATTTTCTGACATATTTCATTATTATAATGATATTATCAATAGTATTTTATTTTCACAGTAATAATGAATTGACCTATTGAATTAATTAAATTTTTCTTATTAGACATAGTACTTTGACATTAATGATGAAATGGTGAATTTTATAGATTCATTTGTTTTAGCATTAATAATTATTGCATAGTATAATTAGCCTAATTTATCTTTTAATATTTCTATGTCACTTCAAATTGTAGATTATGTGAATAAAAAATAAAGTTTTCATCATTTTATGTATACCATATTATATGAAATAAATATTCATAAAAAAACCTAATCATTTATCGGGGTAAAAAGTATTCAATGTCTTAATCTAAATAAACTCATAAACTATATAGAAGTTTTAAAAACTATACGCGTACCAGGTTTCTTCCAAATCCGTTCGGAAGTTTCCACGTTATTCAGAAGGTAACATACAAACTTGCATATTTATATTATAGTAAAGAATTCTTCCCTTACATTTCCAGGCCTAGAAGGACTAGACCTCGTGCTCAAGGCAGACCCGGGAAAAGGCGACCTCAAGACGACTACGATGACGACAGGTAATGGACTGGAAGATATATAAAAACATAACATAATTATAATATTAATAAAACCCTTCATAATAGTTTCAAGGCAATAGAATTAGATGACAACACTTATATTTCCCTTCAAAAAGCAGCAATACTGAACAAGCGCAGGACTGTGAGAAAGTTCTCAGAGATATAGGAGAATTAATACAAAACTTACGTACACATTTTACTTTTAAAAAAACCGGCTAAATTCCGTGAAAACGTATAAAAAACACTAATAATAAAGTTTCATTTGTATTTCCATTACTGAGCATATATACTTAAAGACAAAATAAATCAGAAAACAAAATGGTTTGTGACACAGTGACCCCAGTGTCTTCTATTCTGTCACAACCTTTCCAAATAGCAATACCGTTTCCTCCTATGAAGACACAACACAAAATAAACTAGGAAATAGCAGGAGTTCATCGGATCAAAGACCACCCTTGATCTGACACAATCTGTTATGGTTTTATACAAAAAGTAATAAGTACCTTGTATTATTTAAAAAAAACGAGCGAACCTTACAGTAGTCGCGTATGATGTGTAAAATTTGAAACCTCACATTATATTAGTAAAAAAAGAACATTATGTTCTAAAATCAAGTCAAATAGCGCGCGCTTTCGCAACTTCCTGTTACACACTTACGTCCTATTTCACGAAATCACTCCTACAAATTGCAGGAAAGCGGGAGGAAAGATGTTACACGTCAAAAAGGATGATGGATGCACTTGACAGTACTAAATAAACCTTACCAACATACAGGGTGTAAATTGAAACTCATAATCATATAATCAGTTTAGGTTAGCAGAAGAACTCTTGAAAGTACAGAAGATAGATAGATATTTGGAAACTATTGTTTAACGAAAAACTTTGGATGCGTCAGATGATAACTTTATCGTGCAAATCGAATCGCATCAACAAACATTTTAAGAATTGTTGTTAGTAATGAATTGTCACTTTTGTTTCCAGATAGACCTATATAATGCCAAATTGCCAAATAATATGGTTTTATTTTTTAACTGTAAAATGTGTTAGACTGCAGATTTAATCTAAAGAATATTTATTTACGCCAGGCAGCAGACGGGACTCGAACCCACACCCTCTACCATCAATGAAAATAGACGACGTGAAAAGGAATTGTTTCAATTATAAAATTACCAAGTTTCTCCCTTCATAAATTGTACATGTAGCGGCTGTTTTAATTTAACAAACTTATGTAGCTATGTATGTTATGTTTATTTTATTTATTTAATGTATTACTTATGTGTTCTTGTATAAAAACATAAGAATTTTACACCTTTTCTCCATATAGATTGTTAATGCAAAATTTCACATTCCTCCATATCCAAAATGTGCTTTAAAAGTGGAGTAAAAAAGTCTTTTACATTCAAGTATTAATGTAGGTAATCAATGGTCTTTTCAGATATGAACGTCGTCCAAGGCCGAGAGACGAGGCGGAAGACGAATTTGAAGAACGCAGACCGTACGATAGAAGACCGGCGAAAAGACCGCAGTACGATAGAAGACCTTACGATGAAGACGAAGACAGAAGACCAGGGTATAGAAATAGACGACCTGTTAGACCACGAGACGACGATGATGATAGATACGCAGAAGAAAGACCAAGAGGAGGACAGAGAGATCAGAAAAGAGATGATTTGAGACCCAGAGACAAGAGACCGAGGGATGAATACAGGCCTAGGGATGAAGTGCGGGCTAAAGAAGACCTTCCTAGGGAAGAAACTAAGTCGAGGGATGAAATAAGACCGAGAGATGAAATAAGACCAAGGGGTGAAATTAGACCAAGGGATGAAATTAGACCAAGGGATGAAATACGGCCTAGGGATGAAATCAGACCAAGGGATGAAATTAGAGGTAGGGATGAAATTAGACCTAGAGATGAAGTCAGATCAAGAGATGAAATAAGACCTAGAGATGAAATAAGGCCAAGAGATGAAGTCAGACCAAGAGACGAGTACAGGCCGAGGGATGAAAAAAGACCTAGAGACGATAGAGTACGAGATGAGATTAGACCACGTGAAAACCTAAGACCACGGGATGAAAGGAGACCTTCTAGAGATGAAGATTTAGCTGAACCTAAAAGACCTAGGGATGACCGATATCCTACTAACGAAGGTCGAAGATATCGCGACGAAAGACCTTACAGGATCAGAGACGATAGACCTTACACCAAACCTGATAGATATGACGATGATAAAGTAGACGAGAAAAGGGAGATCCCATCAGCTCCTGAAACCCAAGGTCTTGTAAAACCCAACGGCCATGGGCTTTTCAGCAAACCAAGAATGCCTCCGAAAATCAAAAGACCAGTCCCAGTAAACGCTAAAGAGAAATTTGAATACGTAACAGTTGCAACTACAAAAGCGCCACCTAAAGCTGACGATGACGACGAATATTACGATGATTACGAAGACGAAGAACCTACTAGACCCTCGTCTTCAGGGAAATCGTCCACGATTCACCAGAGACCGAAAACGGAACCCGTTGAAAAGGAAAAATTCAAACCTTCCCGTCCACATGTTTCGAGTCAATCTGCCAATTATAAAGAGAGGAAAGCGGCTAAAAAGCCTAATTATGAAGACGAATATTACGACGACGTTGAATATAAAAAACCGCGTCCTTTAGCCAAAGTCGAGCAAAAACCTAAAGTGACGACACTGATTGACGATTATTACTATGACGATTATGAAGAAATTAAAGATATAAAAGAGAAAAAAGTAGTCGCTAAACAACAAGAAGATATAACGGATAAAATTAAAGATATCAGGCCTAATGTAAAAGTTTTCAAGCGTCCTTTTTTACCGTCTAGGGGTGGTAGTCCCTATTTACCTAGGGGCTTGCAGCCTGTCAACGGAAAAGTTATGACTGCACCTCCCAAAACCACCCCTAAACCCACTACAACCACTTCTACAACGACCACTACTACCCCTAGGACTAAAACTACAAGAAAAACTACTACTACTGCGAGATTAACAACTACAGAATCTAGTTTGGCTGAAAAACTAACAGCTCCCGAAGATGAATATGAATATTACGACGAGGAAGACATAGAATATGATGTTAAAAAACCATCACCTTTATCCACTGCACATCCATATGTAAACAGAGATGACGAAGAAATTGAAACGCGAAAATCAAAAGCATCTCATGAACCCGATATACAGATAGAAGAACAAGACTATTATCCCGAAGAACCGAAATTAGACCAGGAAGAACCAGAATTGGATACTCGAGAAGAATCAGAATTCGAAACTTTAAAACCCGAAATCAAAACGTATTCACCGGAAATCAAAACACGTCCGCCCGAATTAAAAACTCGTCCACAAACGTTGAGAAGTCATTTCCATGAAGTCAGAACTCACAAACCTGAATTGAGAAGTCGACCATATGAATATGAAACTCAATCGCCAGAAGTCAAACTTCATGATCTTGAATTCAAAACTCATACGCCAGAAGTAAAACATCATTCGAATGAATTCAAAACTCATACGCCAGAAGTCATACCCCATTCACATGAATTCAAAACTCATACGCCAGAAGTAAAACATCATTCACATGAATTCAAAACTCATACGCCAGAAGTCAAAACCCATATACATGAATTCAAAACTCATTCACCAGTAGTCAAACCTCATCCACATGAATTCAAAACTCAATCGCCAGAATTGAAAACTCATACTCCTGAATTAAAAACTCACACAAACGAATATAAAACTCGTCGAACAGATTTCAAAACTCATGCCCCAGAATTTATAACGCATGCACCAGAAATCATAACTAGTCCAGAAATTTTTGAAAAACATCCACCAGAATTCAAAACGGATTCACCAGACTTCATAGCTCGTCCACAAGAATTTAAAACTCAACCGCCAGAATTAAAAACTAGCGCGCCCGTAACGGAATCGCGATACCAAGAATTGAGGACTTATGAACCAGAAATTGTAACGGACAAACCCGAAATCTTAACTCGCAGACCTGAAACTAAAACACAAAAACCTGAAATCATAACGCACAGTCCGGAAATCTTCTCTCATGAACCTAAAATCATAACCCAAGAACCGGAAATCATAACGCATGCAGCAGAAATTGAATCGCACTTGCCACAAATCGATACACGCCAATCGGAAATTATCTATGAGCCGGAAACGGAAACCCCGAAGCCGGAAGCGCTAACGCAAGCGCCGGAACTGAAAACCAGCAGACTGGAAACGTCGACTTTGGCTTTAACAACACCCGAGGAAAGGGCTAAGAATTTAGCGAACAAAGTCTTGAGAATTTACAATGATAATTACCAACTGATCAAAGATAAACTGAAGACAACGCTTTCGCCGGGCGCTTATATAAAGCCATTTTTGGAAGCAGATGCTTATACGCCAAGGGAACCCGAGTATAAAATATCTAATCGCCCTACGAAAGCCAAAATAGCACCGCATCCAGAAATATCTAAACCTTACACTGCTACTGGGAAGCCGCCGAAAATACCTGACATCAAACAGAACTTAGCTGATTCCTTAGAAAGCGATTATGATGTAACGCTTAATGAAGCGATAACACCCAATGTTCCACAAGTTAACGTTAGAGTTCCAAGCGGTTTCGTTATACCAAATAGGGACTACTCTTTCTCTAGATTCGGGAATAGCTACCATCATTTGGAACCCCAATATGCGGCTTCGGAATTGAAAAGCTATCAGTTAGTCAAACGCCCCCAAGTTAGCGTAAGGACCCCCAATAGCTACTATTTACACCCTCAAAGGGTCGTAGGGTTCCAAGATGACGGGGTCCATAGATATCCGAGGCAACTGATGTACAGACAGGTAGGAAATTATTTTTAAAATTGTGATTTTTCTTTATTATATTGGTAACCTTTGAGAGATGTCAATTGGTTTATACGAAAACCTGTGAGTGTGTATTCTTAAGAAATGTATTTTTCATATATATTTTTATTTCTTATTTTGTTTTTTTTTTTAATATTTTATTATTTCTCAATATGCCTTACAGGTTTTTGTTGAAAATTGAGGTACTTGTATGTAGTACTTTTAAGTATGGAATAGTCATTTTTTGATGTGAAATTAAGAATAATTATTTAATTTAAAAATTTATAATTGTAAAATAAATATTTGTATTATAATAATTAATGCGTCACACAACCACAATTATATTATTTTAATTATTTTACAACGAACACAAAATATGACATGATTTATTTAATTATTTTTAATTTTCTTTTCTTTTTATTAAAGTCAACTACGAAAGCAAACGAACACGAAAAGTCGTTCTTGGTTTTGTATTATTTAAAGTATATTTTCACACTTTAAAATTCAGCATGTAAATGCAAGTAAACAAAAAATAAATTATTTCACATCGACATTTAAGTAATTATATTTATGGAAAAACTGAACAAAAAAAACACAAATTATTTCTCTCCTTTTACTGCCAATTTATTTCTAAGTTTAAAAATAAGATAATTATGAAATATAAATATAATACTCTAGTTACCCGTGGTAAGATTAAGAGTCGAATTTTTCAAAGGTTACCCAAGAATGTGTTTAGTTGAACAAATTTTATTGTCAAAAAATATTAAATAAAAATTTTGTTTTATTATAAGTATATTATTATTTATAAAATAAAAAAAAATCATGGCATTAATGCTTGCAAATTCAATTAGTAACAAAAAAATATAAAAAAAAATGAATAAGAAAATTTGTTTAACTGAATAATGACAACGTGTAGGTGTCAAATTGTAAATTTTTATAATTTTAAATATTACTACTTTATGATGTAAGTGAAATTAAAAATACAAAAAATCCATAAAAAAATGTCGTATTTATTTCTACATTTAAACTTAACATGAATTAAATAAAATATTTGGAAGCAACCTCAGTAGTTTTGGTAGAGCTCAATGGCTCGTTCGGCGAGCGATCGTAGAAGTTAAGCAACTCTAACAATGGCTGGTCATTAGATGGGTGACCAAAAACTTGTTATCTCCCATTCCTCCATGCTTCAGGAGCAACGTTAAGCTCTTAGTCACGGCTGCATCTGCAGTCTTTAACATCCTCCAATCCGCACCAGGTCCATTAGTTCCCACTAGTGTTGCCGAACTATCGATATTAAAACTATCGACAGTTTACATCGAAAATCATGTACCCTATCGATAGAATCGATACAACCGATAGTATCGATACTATCGATAGCTCAGAACAAGGCAATACTATCGAATTAGTGCAATACTATAGATACTATTGTAGTTCGTTAATAACAAACTATTGATAGTATCGATACTATCGATTGTGTTGATTTATCTGCAACAAAACTATCGATAGTATCGATACTAGCGATTGTTTTAGACTAAAGTTTGTGATTGACTATAATACCTGAAAATTGTCAACAAGACTATTGCAAATTGTTAAACTATAGATAGTATGGTTGCAAATAAAATCGACAGTATCGATACTATCCATAGTTTGTTATTAACGAACTACAATGCTATCAATGGTATCAATAGTATTTAACTCATCCGATAGTATTGGCTTTTTCTGTGCTATCGATCGATTGTCATACGATTGATTAACTATCGATAGACTATCGATTAATCATCGATAGTCGACTATCGATCGGCAACACTAGTCCCCACTAATCCGCACAGGACGTTAACACTAACGCACTAAACTTGTCAAATACCCTAATATGTAAATCGGAATGACGTCTATTAGGTAGATTATTATCTTTATTAGTATTTTTTATTTATATAACACTTGTATCTTGCCGGTTTTTCTCAGTACAAGGTCTCCCGCCGTAGTTTTGCGCACCGATGGCGTAGCTTCTAGACCTTCACAAGTGCTTGTAACAGCCTAGACTGAATAAATGTCATTTCATTTCATTATCAAAAAAAGTTGGGTAAATTTATTAGTATGTACCAAAAAAAAATGGATGCGTGTAACTTATGTACGCGCGTGAGAAGTTATACTTCTTTAGCATCATTAAAAATATTTTTTAATTGCATGCAAATAATTAATAATTACAATAAAATAATAAAAGGACTGGAAAAGGATAGTTAACACAGTCAATTATGTTCAGTTTTAATTTGAAAAATTAAATAAACATTCAAAATATTCAATTAAAATCACTACTGAATTTAAGTTATTAGTCCATATGTAATTAGCACTTGTAAGTAACTAAAACACGTTGTGTCTATATAGAAACTAGAAACATGTGGATAAATATTATAAATATGAAAACAGTGATCAGAGGTGACGAGCGTGCCAACATTGTTTTTGACAACGCGATCATCTTATGGAGCTCCGTGGATCGTTCAAAGTACCTTTCGAGCAGATGTCTAATAATGGTGGATTATTAACCACTAAGTGGTTAATAATCCACCATTATTTTTGTAACACCATAGTATTAAATATCATCACGCCGCCCGTTACTAGATGGCGCTGTACGCATGTGAATCGTGCTATCCTATACCGGCACCGATTGTATGGCACATCATAGGATCAAATATCATCACGCCGACCGCTACTAGATGGCGCTGTACGCATGTGAATCGTGCTATACTACACTGACACCACTTGTATAAGGTGTTCTTGGGAAATTGACCAAGTCATCGCTTCGTAGGTAGGGCCTATTGTCTTGCACGCTATACGCTTCCACCACGTGGGACGTCTTAGTGTCTTGATAATAGTATAAGTACATGTACTTCCACCCTTGTGGGATACAGTAATACCATTTCTCCTACAAATATTGAATAGTAATCACAATATAAGTATTTTCTACCTACGCCTATCTTTATTTGACGTCAGTCTTCTCACACTCCCCCTTCGCCCTCCCGCACATTATTACAGTTTTATTCAATAATAAATATTATAAATATGAAAACAGTGATCAGAGGCGACGAGCGTCCCAACATGTGCGACTAAGAGATCCTATTACTACTTTGTTGGAAGTTTTTTTTCGAGACTTATGAGTAATGTGCGGTTTAGCGGCCGACTTCATGGTGTTACTTTTCTGGTACAGTGTTGCGCGCGCATCTTAAAAGGACATTGCTCGTTCCCCATACATCGAATGCCCTAGAACGCCCAGCAATGAGAAAATACTAGTTATGTTCGGAATCATTCATAAACTCTAATTAGGCATTTGTTGAGATACGGACAACTTGAGGAACCGTGGCCTACTACAGAATGTATTAGATTTTGAGGTTATAATTATTATACTTAAACTTAAAAGATGTACACTTTATATATTCTGAATAGATTCAGTATTTACCTCTATGTAAGCACTGAAATAATATGCATTAAATGAACATAAAATGCAATTAATAATAAAATGCAATTCATATTGATTTATGAGTGTTGGCAGTTGGCACCTATGATACCTATACCTACCTGTAGTAATAATAGATTTATTTTCAAATGAAATGTTCAAAATCTTTCCATTTACTTGTTTCAATATTTTACTATCGGTAATTATCTGGTTAGGTATGTATCTGGTTATAATTTCATAAAAATAAACAGATATTACATGGGATGGGAGTATAAACTATTTTTACATAATTTCAGAAATAATCTTTTTATAAATATAATATAAATACTAGTAATAAGTATTATTAACTAAGGTACCTAGTTCTATTTTTATGTTGATAAATACCTATGGTCGCCTATATTGCATATTTTATTAAGGTAAACAATCTTGGCACAACTTTTTAACAGAATCACCCATTTAATAATAAAATATTAACCAAGCCAATAAACTATTAAAATAAATCGTTATTATAGACTGAAACCTATTGAATCCAGTTATCAGTTGATTTTTAATGCTGTATTTTCAATAAAAAGGAGTGCTTAGATTGTTTACCAAATAGGACAAGTTGATGAACAGACTGTAGTATCTAGTAACAGAACTTTTATTTTTTATTTCTTTAAACAGATTGTCCGTTTACTATGATTTATTGCTAATTATTTAAAAAAATAATAGAAAAATAATCGTGAAGGACATTCTTTTGGGCATGCTAGGGCCGATTTCGTCGATGTCCTTTCACTCTCATCATTTTTTCATAACGCGCCCGCGGCTAACTTCATTATGTTACTTTTGTGTTACAGTGATGCGCGCGCATCTTAAAATTGCACTCTCATATTTTTTTCATAACGCGGCTAAAGAAGTATAACTTCAATAATATGTATTGATAAACTCTTAATTTTAATTTTCTTCTATATAAATCGCACATATTTGATTTGAAAGGGGAAGAGGAAACATACATAGGGAGCTGGGATTTATTTTATAATCTACCAAGTTTGCATTATATACCTCTTTTTTGTTGTCTTCATACATTTTTCTTTACAATTGTTATAGATATTACTTTAAATAATTGCATGTAAATTGAAAATGTACCTATTTTAAGCCTACTGTGTCAAATAAAATTATTTTGATTTGATTTGATTATCTAAAATCTTCATATAAAAATATAGAGAAATATTAATGAAGGACATTCTTCTGTGCATGCTGTGGCAGATTTCGTCGATGTCCTTTAACAATATCTTGATCATCTACAATTACACTTGCATACAATATTTAAATATGGTTTTTTCTCATTTAAGTGGTGGTATTTCATAATGGTGGTTTCACAGTCGTATTCACTTACACAAAATAAAAGAAGTAGACGATTCAAAAATTTCATGTTTGTTAATTTTATGTTTCATGAATGAAATAAAAATACCCGTTTGAATTTTTCGAAAATGTTTATTTATTTTGTTTTATCACAAACGATTTATCAAAACTTTTTATAGCTGCATACAAGATATATTTTCGCCTATTAAATGTATCTTTACACCTTTCACCTACATATTCGTACATTAACAAATAAAATAACACACTTAATTGTGTCACAATTTTAGTGATTTCGTTGATTTGATGTAAGAACAAAAATGACGACAATATTATTTTTATTTATTCGTCTTTGGTGTCTTTGATGCATCAAATCAACGAAATATTACACGTATCATAGTATAATTCATTTTCAAATTTCCTACTTACTTTCTATACTTATTAAAAAATACGCAAACCATTTCATTGTTTTAATTTTGTACTGGGGACTGTTAATTATAGAAAATTAAACAAACCTTACATACAAAAATCGCATAATAATAAATGGAAATAAAAATAATATATTTCAAAATTAACAGTAAAGCATATTTGACTACTGTTTGACCGCCATTGACGTATGACAACACACACAAGGAATGTTCGTTGTCATGGCAACGCACCACTGCTCTAGTGACCGTGGCTTATGAATATAACGGAAAAATAATATTCTTATGTTTCAAATTAAACTTATTATTTTTAATATTCTCATAAATACTTCATTCATTTAATGTACATTTAATAATAATGATCTTCAAAAATATGCACGGAAATATTTTCTAGCTAAAAATTGTTCGATAAAAATAAATTTTACAATAACTCCAATGGCTAATTATTATGAAAGACACTGTACTAAAACTAATACAACGGAACGCTTTAAACAATGTTTAAAAGAAAAGATAATTTCGAATAGTATGTATTACATTATTGTTTTATTAGGAGACCCACATTTTTCTAATTTATTCCTCATCATAAATATCACTTTATCAGATCACTGTTATAGATAGATAATATTGTACCATCACTTTCAGATCCCTAAACTTATCTAATATCATGCTAGACATTTTCGTGTTTACGCATTCATGGCCTTATGATATCACTTCACATGGCTTATTTTTATTCTGTGCCCGTTTCCGTTTTACGCAGAAATTTTGAAAATGGCCCGTAGAAAGAGAGACACGATATGAGAGAGGTTGCTCGGTATTTATACAAATTAAAATTTAATATTTCA